ATTTTTTTTTGATTTATTGTAGAGATGAGGTCTCGCTGCCCAGGCAGGTCTCGAACCCGCGGGCTCAGGCAATCCACTCACCTCAGCCTCCCAAAGGCGCGGGATTACAGGCTGAGCCACCGAGCCCGGCTCCACTGTACTTTTTAATCTACTAATAGTAAATAGTACAGGTGAGGGAAGGTTAAGTTGTGACTGCCACTGTAATATGTGTGCTAAAGAATGCTAGTATTCTAGTATTGTGATTTTTCCTCTTATTATCCACTTGGGTATTAAGAGTTGTTGGGGAGTTCAACACACTGTTTAATTGGCCAGTTTGGATTCAAGTTAAGGGGCTAGATATTAACATCAGGGCCTGTAGATTTTGGACATGAAGATACAACACAAGGGAAGTAATACCATAAGAGCCTGAGATTGTGACATATAAAACATTAAGACCATTTTGGGCTAGTTTTGTTTTTTCTGTTTTTAAAAATAGCGTGCTTCTTGTAGAAAATCTAGAAAATACAGAAAGGTATAAAGAGATGACTACTATTGCAGTTTTTTTTGACATTTCTTCCTGTTTGTTTTGTAGCATATATATATATTTTACATTAGTAATGTACTTTTTTGTACATTATATTGTAAGCATGTTATTAACAGTTCTTTGTAATCATTTAAAACATCTGTACTTTGTCCCATATTTGGACATATCATAACATGCTTGGGCATTCACTATGGTTTGACATTTAGGTTGTGTGCTTTTAAATTTTCAGTCTATTACTTTGCTCTTTAAATAATGACCTGTCTTGATAGATATCTTTGTCCACCATTTTGGTTATTTTACTAGATATAGAGATCTAAACCCAAAGATGTGAATATTTTTAGACTTCACTTATTTATTCAAAGAATGAGGGTATTTTCACAGTCATTAATAAATAAGTGAAACCTAAATGAATCCTTTTATGTATGTGCACACACACATATGCACGTATAGAAAAAAGGGAGATGGAGTTGAGCTTGTTTTCTAGGAAGTTATCCTCATAACTTTCAACTTTACAGGTTGAGGAAAATTGCTATCTTGTTTCACCCATCCAAGTATCAAGTACTAACATTTTTTGCGAAGTTTGTCTTGTGAGAATATTTCACTTTTATTTGATAAGTAGTGAAGGTGCTAATTTTTTTCAAGTTTACAAATTATTTTTATTTTCTCTTGAGGCCTTTGCTGATTTTGGGGGGACATTTTCTGTTATCAGTTTGAGTTCATTAAATCTTTAGTAGCAGTCTCTGTATTTGTGACAGTCTGTATTCCAGTTTATCTTTCTTCAAAGTTAGAAGGAAAAATGTTTTAGCATAAATTTAAATACTAGCATTGGCCATTACTTTGTTAAAGGCCATTACTTTATTCAACTCTGGTGTGTCCATGTAACTCTTTGAGCTATGGCCACCATGTATTCTAGTTTGGGCTCCCTCCCATACCTTGGGGAGGTGAATCTCCTCCTTACTTTCTAAATAAACTATATTTTCCAATCTAAAGAAAAAAAAAACAGGCGTTTATATTTCTAGGAAAGCCAATTTTATTTATAAAAGAAATATCATATATGAGAGTAAGCAACTTGTTGAAAAGGTACTTTATAAACTCATTGATGTTTGTCATGTGTGTTAAGCCAAAAATGGTTAAGGTTGGAGGATGTTTCCAAATTGCTAAATCTTTGACCCATATGTTTAGAATTGTGAATTTGTGTAGTTGGCTAATTGTGTGTAGAAAGGGACAATTTTGATACATTTACTGATTTTAACATACCGGGTGGATTTAGTTTTTGTTTTTAGGATATTACCTGAGAAGGACAGCAGGCATCTACTTTTTTGGAAAACCTTCTTTTATAGACATTTTTATATGGTTTTCATTCATGTTCTGTTGCTATAACTGAATATTTTTCTACCTTAAACTTTAGTTGATTAAACTTTACTGTTGGTGGAGGTTACGTTATTGTTCATTACTGTTCTGAATAGATTGATCCCATATTAATAAGCCAATGCTAGCAATTGCAGCCATTCTTCTATTTTGGCTAAATGGTATTTTAATTACTTTTTAAATATTTTCCTGCATTCATTAGGATTTTTGCAGGTGGGGAATGCAGAGTGGAAAGATTTAAAAACTTGAAATGGATACCACTGGAAAGGGATAGTCTATTGATTTGAGGAACTGAGTCTGAACATTTATTAAGCTTAAATTACTACAGGAAGTTATCTTCATCCTATTTGGAGATTTGCCTCAGCTGCATAAGGTTTTCATCTTTTTCTTTCAGTTTTGTTTCAAATGATAAATTATTCAATCCCTTGAAATTTAAATAAGAGTGCATGAACTTATCTGAATTGAACTACATAAACTATTTAAAACAGAAAAATAAGCCGGGCTCGGTGGCTCAGCCTGTAATCCCGCGCCTTTGGGAGGCTGAGGTGAGTGGATTGCCTGAGCCCACGGGTTCGAGACCCGCCTGGGCAGCGAGACCTCATCTCTACAATAAATCAAAAAAATCAGCTGGGCGTGGTAGCGCATGCATATAATTCCAACTACTCGGAAGGCTGAGATGGAAGGATCGCCGGAGCCCAGCAGGTCAAGGCTGCAGTGGCCGGGAGCAGCCACTGTACTCCAGTCTGGGCGACAGAGTGAGAATCCAACTCAAAAAAAAAAAAAAAGAAAGAAAAGAAAAAGAATGTATAACCTATCTTTGTTTACCAAACTTACTTGATTATAAAATACCTGAGGTACTCATCCAGGTCTGTCATCTTGGAATTATGATTCAGTAGGTCTGGGACTTCAGTGGGACATGGGAATCCATATTTTTGGTACGCTTTGTGGGTGATTTTATCATTGAGCAAATTTGAGAAGTACTGATTTAAATAGTACAATACTCTTCCACTTCATCCACATATTGTGTGATCTGATGATTTAGCATTGAACAAACTAGACAAAAATCATTGCCTTGTTGAAGCTTACATTCTGATTGGGAGAGAGACAGTAAACTAAAGTAACAGCAAATGGAGCATATGGCCAAGAATAATGTGAACCTGAAAAAGGATCTTTTATGCCTTTGGTTGGTTATAGTTGCTGAAGCATACCTTAGTGTGAGCATTGGTACCTGAAGAGTAAGACTCTTTAAAGATTCTTTTTAAAAGTTTTCCTAGGTGAATATTTTATCATAACAAAGCCAATAGAATATGTAGTTTAACTGAAAAAAACTTGTATTGAACTTATATTGATTGATATCTTTCCTAAGTGATTTTCCAGGAGAAAAATTTTGATTTAAAGTGTTTGTTATGGTTCTCCTCTGTTTTTAAGTGTTTCAGTTGATAGCTTTGTAATTTTTCAGACACTTAGAAGTAAATTGATTTGCAAATGATAAACCATAGGATACTTTTTGGCTCAATATTCCCTATTTAGTTTTGTTAAAATATTTAATAGAAATATCTTTTTCTGGCTGGGTATGATGCCTCATACCAATTCCAGCACTTTGGGAGACCGAGGTGAGAGGATTGTCTGAGTCCAGGAGTTCAAGACCAGCCTTGGCAACTTGGTGAGACCTTCTCTCTACAATAAATCAAACAATCAACTGGGCATGGTGGCACATGCCTGTGGTTCCAGCTACTCGGAAGGCTGAAGCAGAAGAATCACCTGAGCCCAGCAGGTCGAGGCTGCAGTGGCCATGAGTGTGCCACTGCACTCCATCCTGGGCAGCTGACAGCATGAGACTCTGACTCAAAAAAAAAGAAAGAAAGAAAGAAAGAAATTTCTTTTTCTAAGTGGTAGAAGCTAGTATTCTTACGGTTTTTAAAAGTAAATGAGAAGTTAAACCAAATGGCAAAGCACAAAATACTTTTCATTTATTCTCAAAAACATGTGTCTTCATTTTTTAAATTTTTATTTATTTATTTATTATTTAGAGTCAGAGTCTCACTCTGTCATCCAGGCTGGAGTGCAGTGGCATGCTCCCAGCAACCGCAGTCTCTACCTGCTTGACTCAGAAGATCTTTCCGCCTCAGCCTTCCAAGTAGCTGGAATTACAGGTGTGCACCATCACACCTGGCTAATTTTTTAATTTACTGTAGAGACAAGATTTTGCCAAGTTACCCAGGCTGGTCTCAAACCTTTTGGCTCAGGCAGCCTTCTCACCTCTACCTTTCAAAGCGCTAGGAATACAGGAGTGAGCCACCAGGGGCAACTCATGTGTTTTCATTTTGATAACTTTTTTGATTTAATATTTTGAATACACATGTATTTGTGCTTGGAAGTTAGAGATGGTTTTCTTTTGAGCTTAAGTAAAATCTTGAAGGATTGGTTTTTATTTAGATTTCCTGGCTTGATTTTAAAAGGCAGTATTCTAGGATTAGGATTTTTGGAAGAAGAAATTACTGCTATTTCAGCAGTCCTTAAGTGGTTTATTGCTTACTGAAGTGTTTGTGAAGGGAAACACTTCCTTTTTCTGTAAGATGGAATGTAGTTTATCTCAGCCACAGGAAATGTGTTCCATTTGGTCTCCTTCCTGGTGCTGCTGAGAGCGTAGGAGCTGGGCTTCATCCCCACACAGTTGGGATGCAGTTCCATCTGGCAACATTACTATGGTTGCAGAAATTGAGAGCCCCTGAAAAGAACTTGTCTATCCCTTTCTTGTCTGTCGCTTTGTAGTGGTAGCCCCTGGAGAGTTCACGACCCTTTTTCAAACACAGTTAAATGTATTTAATGTATGAAAGGCTAATTAAATTGAGTTGATCATAAAGATTAAACTCAATGTTGGATGATTTGAATGATTATTTACTGTTTGGACAGTTTTCTAAAATAATGACCCTTATATTTATGTTGCATTTTTGTTGTTGTTGTTTATATGTAAAACATTGGAATAGTTGGATCCATGTTAGTACTCTGTCTTGTTTCTGCCACTGTAGTTATAGATATAAGTGGGAGAAAATCAGTTTGTGTGAAGTAATGGCACTTTTGAATATTGTCTTTCTCTTTTTCCTGCCAGGGAGGACATGTATGCCCAGGACTCTATAGAGCTACTAACAACATCTGGTATCCAGTTTAAAAAACATGAGGAGGAAGGAATTGAGACCCAGTACTTTGCAGAACTTCTTATGACTTCAGGAGTGGTCCTATGTGAAGGGGTCAAATGGTTGTCATTTCATAGGTAAAAAGATTACATTGAAAATGGCATTTATGTTTTCATTTCATACCTGCTTCACACTACTTGAGTCACTCTATCAGCAATTTCAGGCATAGTTCTAGAAAGAGTTGACTGCGATATAGCTGTCTCCAAACTTATGAGGCTAATGTTGGTCTCCTTAAAGGTTGATTTAATAATGTGGAATCTGTTTTAGTCTGTGAGAGGTATGTTACATAGCGGATAGAGTACAGGCTGGACAAATAGAAATACCTTGGTTTAAATCCATTTGGAATCTGTTGCCATTTGGAATTGGTGTTATTTAGGGTTATTTAACATTTCTAAGGTTTAGTTTTTAATGTTCTACAAGGGAAATAATACGTTTAAAAATTTATTGATGTCTGTAATATGCCAGGCACTGTGATAAGATTCTAGGAATTAAGCTGTGAATAAAACTGACGAAAATCCCTGGCCCCTGGGGTTTGTATTCTGTTGAGTGTAAGCCGACAATTTTTTTGAATAATGAAATGTATATTGTGGTTTGTCTGATACTGATAAGTGCCATCTAGGAAAATAAAAAGCAAAGAAAATGCTAGGGATAGTATGTGGGTAGATTTTAATTTTTTTTAAAGGGTGCTAGAAAAGGTATCCTTTAGAAGAAATATCTTGCAGACTTCTTTCAGTAGTCAAAAATAACATCTTTAAAGCCTCTAGAAAAGTGCTTTATACACAGTAAATTCTCACCAAGTGGTGGTAGTTGTTCTTATGTTATTATAAGTTAGAACTAGATCATTTAATAGAATTTCTAGAAAGAAAATTAGTTGCTATTTTGTGAAAATATACTTCTCACCTGCCATCTCTTTTTTTCTCTTCTCATTCACTTGAACCTGTACCTCAGGAAACTTGAGACTTAAGACTCTGTGAATATAACTTTACAGTTCTTTTTACTTTCCTAAAGATGAGGATACAAAAGAACTGGAATGTATTTTGCTATCCTTTTACTGTATGTAACATAATCTTTCATTTGAAAGAAAACTCAGAAAATACGTGCTAGGCACTGGAGTATTAGGATGAACAAAACAAACAGGATTCATGTCTTCTTGGAGTTTACAATCAGTTACACTCTAAAATATTTGGATATTTATCAAGATATGATAATATTTCATTCCACTAAATATCATTTACTCTTTTTTCATTTTGATCTATAATGAAGTAATAAAGAATAGTTTAAGAACTGTATAATTCCTAAATGCTAATATAATCTTACTCTTAATAGTAGTAAGCAAATGCCATATTGACTTTCTGTTAGAGGTCCTTGAAGGAAATGTAGACAAGGGAAAAAGGGGTGTGTGACAGTAATGAAGGGAGACAGAAAGCTGTGGAAAAGGCCAGACAATAGGGTTAAAGAGGTCTTGATTCGAGAGTGTGGGAGTTTTTTTTTATTATCCAGGATGGTAGTTCTCCTTCTTTATTACCTTCACTTCTTTCATATTCAACATCCTCACTAATAATTTCTCTTGGGGAGCCATACTGAGATAGGAACAGAATTGAAAGGGAAGAGAGTACTTATTAATGAAATTATTTAAGAAAAGTGAAAAAATACTTTGTTAGGGACTTATTCCCTGGACTTTTGAAGTATATGACAACCTTATGTAAAAGATAGAAAGCTTTGCATTAGTTTTGCCTTAGGAATGCTAGTTCTCTTGCTTATTTTGACTTTTTTTTTTTTTTGAGTTGAAGTCTCACTCTGTCACCCAGACTGGAGTGCAGTGGCCGCTCCCAGCCACTGCAGCCTCGACCTGCTGGGCTCCGGCGATCTTTCCGCCTCAGCCTTCTGAGTAGCTGGAATTACAGACATGCGCTACCATGCCCGGCTGAGTTTTTAAATTTTATTGTAGAGATGAGGTCTCGCCAAGTTGCCAAGGCGCGGGTCTCGAACGTGCGAGCTCAGGCAGTCCACTCACCTCAGCCTCCCAAAGCGTGGGATTACAGGCTGAGCCACCGAGCCCGGCTTATTTTAACATTTTTAGCCTAGTATCCCTTCGTCTTTGTTTCTCTGTTTCTGTAGTTATTTAAAATTTTTTTTGAGATATCTGTGGGTAGTCTGATACTCTTCTTAGTGTTCTCTATTCAGGCATCAGCAAAATTGTATTTTGGTAACTACAGGCTTGAGTTGATAGCATAGATCTGTATATTGATCTCTGAATGGTAAAGTGACAAGTTTCTAGCACGGTCTGTAAGATGACGGCATTTTCTCATTACAGTTTTAAATATGTTCTCTGTGTTCTTGTGCGCACTTTTTTGAGGGGGTTGATTTCTTTTTTGCCTATAGTGTGACTTGCTTAGAATTTGAATTAGGAAAACATTTATGTTTTTCATCTCTGTTATATTCATGTATCTCTCTTCTATATTCTTCTAACCCTTTTGCAGCGGTTATGACTTTGGCTATTTAATCAAAATCCTGACCAACTCTAACTTGCCTGAGGAAGAACTTGACTTCTTTGAGATCCTTCGATTGTTTTTTCCTGTCATTTATGATGTGAAGTACCTCATGAAGAGCTGCAAAAATCTCAAAGTAAGGCTTCAGGTGGCATTATCTACAACAGTATGCTATTCAGACCGAGGGACTGACATACGGCCCTGGGCTGGGATGTTGCGTTGTGCCGTATTTTTAAGTTTTATATTAAATGCTGTTATACTACTTGGCTATGCGATTCTTTTTCTTGCATAAGTATTCATAGGAAATCCTTTTCTAAAGCTTCACTCCATCTGGCAGAATAAGTTTTCAACAAAATTTAAGCTAGGGTCAGATTGTCATTGTTTGCCAAATTGAAAATCATGAACCAGAACAAAAATGTGAGGATGAGTGAGGCTCTCATATGTGCAAGTGCAAGTTCTCACTCTCTCCCAGCATACACATAATCTGTTCTTATAAGATCCGAGGTGGCCAGTGATGTGCAGATGTATTCACTAGTGTGGCAGAAAGAGTTTTTTCCCTTTGGTTTATTTTGGCTAGGGATTATTTTGTTAGTTCTAGTCATGGAATAATGTTCCTAGGATTAAGCTACATAGCTAAAAAAGATGTCAGCTTGTTAAGGGTAAGCACTATAGTAAATATGTAGGTTCTGCCTAGACAGTAGGTAACATTCTGACACTGTTTAACATGTGCATAATAATTTTTTACTCTGAATATTAATTCTTTCAAAACAAAAGTTTATTTGATAAGGAAAAGTACCCCTTTGAGAACAAAGTCATCTGTGGTGGCACAGGTCTCTGGGAATATAGTAATTTAATTTTTTTTTACATGTATGTATTTAAGTTAAAACTAAAAATAGAAGCAAAACCAATTTAGGGCCAGGTGTGGTAGCTCACGCTTGTAATCCCAGCACATTGAGGGGCCAAGATGGGATGCGGGAGGATCGCCTGAGCCCATGAATTTGAGACCAGCCTGGGCAACACAACAAGACCTCGTCTGGACCAAAAAAAAAAATCCCAAAATTAGCTAGGCATGATGGCACACTACTTTAGTCCTAGCTACCCATTAAGCTAAATACTCTCTCTCTCTTTCTCTCTCTCTCTCTCTCTCTCTCTCTCTCTCTCTCTCTCTCTCTCACATATTTAGGTATTGTGATTACTTTCTAAAAGCTACATTGTCTCTTTTTACTTCAGTTGACCCAAGTTTTCCCCTCACTGGGTTTTTTAGAAGGGTAGTAAAGTTATACTTTTAGATGATAAAGACCTTAGAGGCTTTGCTTTTAAGGGGAGACACAGTAGGGGAATTGAATAAGAAAACTTTGCTTTTAACAAGAGAAGCATTCTTTTGGCCAATATTTGTTTGCCTCTAATAGAGGACATGATCAACATATAACTACGGAAATTTTTTAAGAATAATTATTTTATGTGTCTAGCAGCATACTTTTATTTTTTGTTTTATGTTTGTAACTATTTTATGTTTCTGGTGTATGTTTGTAACAGCAAACTGTAATTTGAGGGGACTTCCACCAAATGAACTTGCCGCAGGGTATCCTTGCTATAGAAACTCAGCCTGTCGTGTAAAAGTACTGCAGGCTGAGAATCCAAGGCCTACGTGTTTTAACCTGGCTTGGGAAATGCTTTTTAAAATTTGATCTGTCTGTACAGTGACAATTTTCAGGAACAGAGAGCCAAATTATTATTCATTATGTATGTTATTGGGAAATTTCCAAGTACAGGTGTTCTGAATGTGTCCTGAGTGAGCTGCTGCATTAAAATTTAGGTTAATGACAAGGGTGTTTTTTGACCTATAGTCGAAAATACTACTGTTCTATTATGTTGTTCTCCTAAGCAGCTGCTAATGATACCTAATCTTCTTGCTATTTTTAGCAGAGAAGCAACTGCTGTGCAAAGCACTGTTTCAACCCGTGACGATAAGGTCTAGTTTGCTAGTAGAGGCCTTAATCCACAGAGGAATTTGTTTTGTTGTTGTTTCCTTCCTTTCTCCCTTTTGCCTCATTCTCCCCTCTCTGTGCTCTCCCTCCCTCTCTCCTCTTTTTTATACTCTTTCTCTTCCTTTGTTTCCACCCTCTTTATCTTTTTGAATCTTAGCAGTATTAACAAAGGAGAGCTATAGCAAACCCTTCTGAGGATTTGTATGATTATACTTTATTCTTAACTAACAAAACCGTAGTTAAGCATTTAGTGAATTCTTAATGATTCAATTGCTCATGATGACTTTGTTTTGTAAATAGTTTTTATTTAGATAGAAACTATTTTAAAGATGAATTGGTGGGAAGTTCAAGGAAATTTGAAAAAATGCTACTAGCTATTCAGTTTTATAATTATTGCTGGATTAGTAAACAATGAATGTACTTGATAAATGTTACTCTGTATGTGATCTACTTCCCCCATATCTTTAAGAAAGTTACTTGCCTATAACATGCCTTGAAACATATGATGATAAGTGTTCCCAATTAGGGTCTCATTTTCTATTATATTTCTCCCACATTCAGCAAATACATTAGTGATTCACATTTACTGTTCTCCCTCCCCCAATCTTTATAAGATTTGTCTTTATGTACTAAAGTTTATTCTTACTTTGATCAGTGTCTCAGTTTGTAATTTATGAATTCAGGCATTGCAGTAATTCTTTATTTGACAAGCAATTTTTATTTCTTCTAGGGTGGATTACAAGAAGTTGCTGAACAGTTAGAGCTGGAACGGATAGGACCACAACATCAGGCAGGATCTGATTCATTGCTCACAGGAATGGCCTTTTTCAAAATGAGAGAAGTATGAAGACATCACTGCTTTTTTCTCAGTTGATTGTTAGGTTGGGAACATTTAAAATCGTATGGCAAAAGTTTTGGGGCAACAAGTACCTACTAAGTGAAGACATACTTAGCGATACCATATAAATCACATCTACCACACTTGAAAGAAAGTATTCAAAAATAAGCCAAATTCAAATGTAGTTCAGAAGGAAATGGCAAAACAAGTTCTTTATAGAACCAAAATTTAAACATTTACACTAATTTAGAAATTATTTAGGTTCAACCATATTATTTCTCAGGTAAGAAAACAGCCAAGTAACTTTTATCCAAGGTCAAACACATTATTAGTGGGAAAACTCCAGAGTTCTTTTCTATAGACTACATCAGTGCTGCTTCTTCCAAAGCAAGAAATCTATGTTAGATTTCCTCTTGCATGGACTTCTTTAAACTGGTGGAAAAAATATTTCCTCATGCCATCTTTCAGTCCTTTGAAGTCATTATAGAGTAGGACTCGTGCTTCCTGCTGGATTGAGTCTGACAAAGGGGTTGTGAATTCTAAAGGGCTTAGATAAATCTGAAAAAAGGTGAATCAGAAACCATATTAGGAAGACTTTCCTTAAGTGCTAAAAGGCAGAGAGATGTTCCTTAAATATACAAAAGTTAGGTATGGAAGAATGAAATTTAATGAACTTAAGTCTACTCAAGTTATATAATTAAGTATCATGCACAGATATACCTTGCCATGGTACATATGAAGAAAATTGGTTGTGTAAAAACAAAATAAGAAACTTTTTTTTACCTATAAAGTTTTCCCTTTTGCAGAATATTTGCTGTCATTTCTTCTGAGTACATCCTCTTAGACATTAAAGACTAAGCCTGGGAATTTAGAGCCTTTTGTAGGAATGTACTAATAATAGAGCTGTTTTGCCAAGTAGTTGTAATTTAGAAATGATTTAGACTGTCCATTCCTCACACACAACTATTTTGTTTTGTACTCCTTTCTAGTATTTCATTAGATAATTAAACAATGGTTTAATTAATGGTGGGTTTCTGGCACTAAATTATCTTTATTTTTCTTGGCTTTTTTAAGGACAGTTACCTAATGTGAATGTTGATTTTACTGCCATTATATGTTCAGGGCTTGTTTATTTGTGACCAGTTCAGCCATACACATAGTCTCAAGGCAACTTATAACCCTGAACTTTTTTTTCTGCCATCGTTGGCTGTTTCCTTCATTCTTACTGTTGAGTATTATTAATGACATCCACCTTTTTTCATGATTACAAATTCTCATAAAAATGGCCTTAATGCTAATGTTAAAGACATATGTTTACATATATCTTTGTAGTCTGTCATTTTGGTTTCTTTTGAGCTCTGTACTTCTGGAGGACAGTAGTCTTATTTATTTAACTTAAATGTGTGGCCTTAGCACCATAGAAAAGAGCTGTTATTGTAGTTAGTGAACAATCAGTACTTACATTGCTGAATTATAAACTACAAGTGGAACCTCTGGTTAAAATTATCTTTTTTCTTCAAAATTCCTTTTTAGATGTTCTTTGAAGATCATATTGATGATGCCAAATATTGTGGTCATTTGTATGGCCTTGGTTCTGGTTCATCCTATGTACAGAATGGCACAGGGAACGCATATGAAGAGGAAGCCAACAAGCAGTCATGACACGAACTAGCCCTTTTGTTTTTTATCTTATTTGAGCTACACACATGCTTGTATATAGGTTTTATCTCTGGTTGAATAGACAATACCTTTTCCCCCCCTTTCAGAGCCCATTTTATTGTCTGCCTTTCAGTACTAAGTATGGCCATTCCTATCTCAGATCTTAATAAATAGAAAAGCATTCAGGTTAAATTTGGCCTTAATTTAATATACTTGTTAGCAAGCGTGTGTGACAGAGTGGGGAAAGCTACATCATATTGAATGTTTTGATAAACTTCTACTTGAGTTTGGTTTATTTTTCCCTTTTCCTAAATTAACTAGCACTGACTGTAATTTATTTCCTGTTTTATGTCTCTCCCTTCCATTCTGCAGGATTTTAGCTATTTGAGATTGTGGATCATCAATTTTGCACTTTAGAGAGTGATTCTTACTCAGATCCTCTGTTTTATCAGAAATTTTGGTTTTTTGTGCTTTTAGCTTGAAAAATGACCAACTGCCAACTTTATACAGTATTTACTTGTTTTTGACCCACAGAATATAGCACATTCATTGTGCAAACTGTTGATTCAGCAAGATTAACAAAAAAAGATAACAAAACTACTGAGGAGCTTAGTAACTGCTGTTTCTATGTGTAGTGTTTAATCTTCCAAGCACATCTAGTGTCTGTCAGTTTCTAATTGGCATGTGTAGGCTACTCTGTGACTGAAGAATTTTCAAACCAGCTTTACACCCTTCAGGAAATATCCCTTGTGATTGGATGTTTAATATCTGCCAGGAAACTCATATTCAAGATGTTGAAACTACAGTTATTTTATGGTAGCACACTTCCCTTGATCCGCTTCTTTTTATTCCTTCACTGTTGACCCTTGTGTTTTTAATTTTATAGCCATACTTATGATGCTCTTGATTTGTTGATTACACAAATCAGTTTTATTAAAATCCAAAGATAACAGGTCTTTAGGTATATTTTGTACCAAATTAAATTAGAAGACAAATTGTGCTTTCATAGTTGCTACACAGATAAATAATGGAGAGATTTGGTGCAAAACAACAAACTACAATATATATATATTCATATACATATAGCTAATTAAATTACCTGAGGAGTGTAATGCTTGTTTATTTTTTTGTGTATATCTTTGCAATCTATTTTATATATATTGACAAAAAAGACTGTGAAATATTTCACCATGCAGAATATGTGACCAGACCAGAGCATGTGTAGGAAGACTTTTTGGTAATCATTAACTCTACCCTGAAATGATGGAATACAAGTTATAACGTGTGTTATCTACACTTCAATCAGTAATATTAGCAAATCTCCAAATGTTAGCCACACTGGTTTGTTTCCCTTGTACATTATTCATATTACAATGCTGTAACTGGGTGGTCCTTTTTAAACAAAACATTATTTGCAAAACAGAGGGTATTATTTGTTTTTAAAGCTTTTGTAAATAAAGGCTTCAGAAATGTTTTCTTACTTATGTTGATGACTGGTGATTTTGTTTTATAAATACTTTGTTTTTTTTTTTTATTTAGGCAACTGAATAGAACACAGTAGCTTCCTTCATTAACCGTAAATGATTATTAGTCTATTAATTGAAAAATCAATATGAACCTTCTGTGTTTCAACAGTGTTCCTTACTTTTATACGCCTTCCTTACTTCTTTATGAGTACAGCTAGATAATTTATTTCTGTCTCCTTCCCGGGAGTGCATTTATTTTGAAGGATTTACAAAGTAAATACACTTGGTATGACTTACTATGGCTTTTTGAAAAATCTGACACAAGGTTGCAACTTTCTAATTGGTTTTCTTTCCATTTTGATTTTCACCTCCTTAAGAAAATAGGAATTACAGAGATTGCCTTTTAGTAGCCACATAGTTGCTGAATTTCATAACTTGTGTCAATTTTTAGTTTCCCTGAAAGTACAGTCCCTGACTTATTGTGGTTCCACTTAATGATTTTTCAATTTTATCAAAAGGTAGCCCCATTGTAATATTCCAGGAACTTCTTGGTATTTCAGTGGGATCACAGTTTCTACTGAATGCATATTGCTTACACATCATTGCAAAGTCAAAAAATTGTAACTAGAACCATTGTAAATTGGGGGCTGTCTGCTGTTACTTGCATTAAATGAATTTGTGACTTATGATATTTTTGATTTAGAGATTTTGGGGATGTAACCCTATCATAAGTCAAGCATCTGTACAGTATTTTATAACTTCTATGGAGGAACATTATGACCTTTACTCAGTCTGCTTTGGGTTATAAGATATTGGTTGATTGTTTTTTTAATGTTTCTGAGCCACTAATTATGGACTAATATTCTATTAATTCTGTTAAACTAGCTTATAGTTCAGAATCAGCCTGCTGCCTGTGGGCTGTGAACTGAAAATGGTTTTTAGTTATAAATGAGGGAAAAAATTGAAAGAATATTTCCTAATAGAAAAATTATATGAATGTGTCTATAAATTTTTATTGGAATGCAGTCACATTCATCATTTACATATTATCTGGCTGCTTTTTTGCTATAATGGGTAAGTTGAGTAGCTGCTACAGAAACTGCCTGTGGGTGTCTCATTGTTTCACATTGTTGCTTAGCAAACTATAGAATCACTGTAATGCAAATATAATGTGACAGTATTTGGAATACCATGTATATTGCTATACCACAATGTATTATTTTTTCTGTGACTTGTTGATGCCAGTGTGTCAAAATAAGAAAAGTACACTTTGAATGTTGTACTTTTAAGGCACATTGGAGTATGGATTATCCTATCAAATTATATGGTAATGCATTATTTATGATGCAGTAACACTATAATTGCTAAAATATTACAATATAGGTTGACAATACCAGACTAACTCAACACAGTATTCCTAACTCATGGGAAAGCAACCATCAGAAGAATTAGAAAATGTATATGGAATATCTCATCATAGCATAATTTCACAAAAATAAAAAATGAAAATGAGGCTGCAACCGAAGTATTTACAAATGCCAATCTGTTAGAGTCAAGCAAGGAAAGCCATTTACTAATGATGAGCTACATCATATTTGAAGGCAGTAACTTAAATAAATATGTCCAGAGAAAATAAATTTATTTGTTAGCCGTTGATGACAATAGTTATTTGATGAATGAGGACACTGGAAGAAACACCAAATTATTTTGAATGTTTTTCTTTGGCTCTTAAGTCAGCCCTGCCCAGCCTTATACTTTACTTGAGAAATTGATGCCAAATTTGAAGTGACTGAAGAATTAGTCTCTACTAATAGTCTGTGGTGAAACTATAGGTGGGAATATTTTGAAAGAAGCTGAGGAGCCATTCAGTACAACCTAAAGTGGAATCTACTAAGATGTGATGCAACTGATGGTGGTAAAGGTATGGATGGAGTAGGAAAAGGTTTAGTTGGTCAAATATATAAAGCTACATACATAAGGTATTTAAAACCTATAGCTATTCATTTTATTATTCACCAGGAGATACTTTACAGGAAATACTGGTGTTACTAAACTGGTAGCATCAACCGTGAACTTCATTCATGCTTGTGGACTTAACCACCATTAGTTACATGAACTTTTGTGAGAAACAGGGTGAATATTCTGATTTAATCTACCACACAGGAGTTTGAGGGATTAGTGGTAAAGATATATTGTGATTTTTTTTAAAACTCTGAGCTGCACTGAACTTTTTCTGAATGAAAACTGTCCTTAACCCCTATTTTTGAACATTTGAGTAGCTGTACAAATTAATTTTTGCCACAGACTTGATAATGTTTCTTAATGAACTTGACCTAAAATTACAAAGCAAAACATTTATACTGTGGTAAAAGTCATTTTAAGACTGACTTGAATAGTAAGATTGTCAAGCTGCTTTATATACATTGTGCTATCAAAATTTAAAACAAGAAGTGAGATCTCTCCACATATATTTCTAGTGGTATATTTTCCTGCAGTTCCCTTAGCATTTTTTGGATCTTGATGCAAGTGCAAAGAACACTGTAATTTCAGAAAATATGTAACTGCAGTTGAAGAGCTTCCTTTCACTTTTCTGTTGGAAATAAATACTCTAGAATGAATGACGTGCTAAAAGTAGCAAACACCAAGAAAAGACTAATGGAATCTTAAAATTGCCTTACAAAGGGTGACTATGCTTAAATAAAATATGCTCGTGGGTGTGTGTCAGTGTTTAGTGGTACCTAGACCTATCTATGGAAAAAATACTTTCAAATCCAAAATATATGAAATCGCATTACAAATCACTATTTAACAACAGATGGACATTTTCAATTAATTTTGATAGAGAACACTAACTTTGAGCCCAAATTGATCAAGTGTTCTCCTCCTCCCCAAAATTCCATTTTTATCATTAGTAGACCCATATGTTTTGTTAAAAAATACCCAGTTGTTTTCTAAGTTTTCAAACTTTTAAATAACATTTTGTGAGAATTTGTTTTCTCCTTATGTAAGTACCTAAATAATGTCTTTGATTTTTGTCTTTCAGCTTGCAGAGCCTCAAATATTCACCTGGCAATATTTAATTTTGCCTGGCCTTTTAGAGAAAAGATTTGTCTACCACTGTACGAGAGGAAACAGGAGTCCATATGTGTCCTGTTTGGTATTTCATCTGCAGTGCCAAATGTAGTGTTTCCTTTGAACAAACAAGCTGAAGTGGAATCATATTATGGATGTATAAGATGTGACCTCGATTCTATAAAGTGAATGTGTTATGAGTTTATAATTTCTTCAGTTAGGGATAGAACCAAAAAATAACATTCTGTGTGTGGGTGCTTTATAATGAGTTATGGTCAGTTTACACATGCCACGTGCAATGTTAAGAAGTATAATTTATATGCGTGTGTTTCATTTGTAGCTTAATGTTACCTTTTATTTTTCTGTTAAGACACAAAAATAAAGGAATATAAATATATCTATTTCTATATATACATCATCCATGTCCAGCAGTTATCATTGAGGTTTTGAAAGTTAAAAAAGTCAGCATAGAGTGAAAACTATGAATAAACAGGACTTTCATGTACATTCTCACTAGATAGTTTGCATTTGTTAGTACTTGTATTAGTTTTCTATAGCATTAGTTATATTTAAGATTGGGTATAAAGGCAAATGAACTATTTGTTTCCTTTAGAAGTGCATTTCATTGCTTCATAACTGCAGTCTGTAGTTGAATAAACCAAGCCTTTCTCCAAAATTAGTCATTTTCTTTATGAAAATGACCTGGTCAATACTCTCTTTCCTGGCATGCAGGAATTTGTTGTACATGAGAGGCATTTGTGAATATAAACTCCCCTTTTCCTTTCCATCGGGGGAGAAATCCACTGCTTTCACACACTTCTGTATTGGCTTCTCCCAAAAGACAAGTCTTTTTCCAGTACCACACCAATAAATTGGGGTTCCTTTAGCTTCAGGCTGAATGTCCTCCTTTGGCTTCCAAATTGTTAGGAAGTCCCAGTTTGAAGGACCCAGTGGGACTTACTGTTTTACATCTTATTAGCTATGTCATAGATCTTAAGTGGTTTTGATGGGGACCTGTTTCACTCATGGTGCCATATACCTCTTTGGTTTCTAAATATTGGTGATTGATACAGGAATCGTATCACTGCAAAGCCCATGTATAAAAACAAACCATTCTTGAACTATATGTATATATACAGACTCCTTCCATCAATTTTTTTTTTTTGAGTCGAGGTCTCCCTTTGTTGCCCAAACAGCAACAGTCTCCAGCAGTCCTCCTGCCTCAGCCTCCCAAGGAGCTGGGACAACAGGCGCACACCACCACATCTAGCTAATTTTTTTCATTTTTTGTAGAGGCAAGGTCTCACTGTATGGCCCAGACTGTTCTCAAACTACTAGTAATCTTCCTGCCTCTGCCTCCCAAAGCGCTGGGATTATGAGAGTGAGTCACCATGCCCAGCCCTGTTTATTCTTTAGAGGGGCTCTTTCGTATCCTCTACTTTTGCCTAAGTAGGTATTTTTAAAGAACTTCAAAACATTTGCATGTTACTGTAAGATAAATGTGTAATTAAGATTGCTTTTAAAAATATATGCGACTTCCACACAACAAATAGGTCATTTAGGAGGCTTTTAATAGTATGCATTAGGGAGTCATACATATGGACAGAAAGAGACATGAAATCTAAACTCTGACAATAGCCTTGCTTTTACAGCTGAATAAAGTACAACAGAAGAACTGAAGCTTTACATGTTATCAGTTCTTGAATTCAGGATCAAAATAATTTTACTTTGGAGCATGGTATTTTTTTATTTGATTAAGCACCTTTATCAAACAGGAACAGTTAAGTATTAATAAATTCAGGTCGGGATGGAGCTCCTCACACCAAACCTTCTCCAGAAGATGCAACATAAGTCATAGTTTGTTTTAAAAAATCATAAAATAGTACTATCCTTTCAGACCAATAGGGAGCTTCTTTACGTAGCATAAACCGGAATTTTAAATGATT